CAACATTTAAGGATTTGTTTTATATACATGGTTATGAAATATTGAAGACCAATCAGATCATTAATGGACACTTAGTGCAACTTTTTGTAATGAGAACAGTGCTATAAAGTCTGAAGACCAAAACTGGTGTCATCACTGAAATTAATAATTTTCAACTTGTTCATATTTTAATTTATAATGGGAAAGTGTATCCCACCACTGGAGACTCACAGTACTGTGTAAACTGTGAAAGATTTTAAATGTTGTTATTTTGACTATTTTAAATTTTAGAGTTACATTTTATTCTGATCAGAATTTTTATCAAGATGTTGAGGTTTTGTTATTTTGAAACTAGTTTGTCATAACGTATTGTGCGTAATCACAGTATTTATTTTGTAGGATTGTTGTGAATGTGTAGACTTATGTTTACTGCTAAGGGAACAATTATTTATAAAATAATATTAAATCCAGTATTAGCTGCCTATTTCAGACACTTAATACCTACAGAGATCCGTGTTCCATTCACCACACTGAAGTTTTTTTAAAGAATCACCTCATTGTTGAAAGTAAATGTCCTCTTAGGGTGGGAGTATTCGTGTTCCAATAAGCATGTGATTATGTTAAGGTGGTGGTAGCGGGAAGATAATCTTGATTCCATTGGGAATCTTAGGTTTTCGTAAATTTATTGGGAAAATAGTTTTTCCTGTACTGCTGATGTTTCTTTTTGGTAAACAGTATCTTTCTAAAAGAAAAAGCATGAAGGAGAAATTGAGGTGTGTATGCATTTCCTCAAATGACCAGCATTGTATTCGTGAATACTGTGTATCTTGCAGTGGACAGTATGGAAGCTGTTCATTTTTCAATCTGAAGTAAAATTCTTACAAGAACTCGCAGTTGCCTGCTCATTTGTTTTAGACATTTCATCTTTGTATCTGACTCCTGTCTTTTTTGAGTTTCAGTACCTTTGATAGAGTTTTGTGGCTCTCTCAGATGTATTATTTAACCGTAATGGGCCCTCCATTATCTATCCCTCATAGTATTCCTTGACTAGCAATGGAGAGGGGATTTTACACATACTGCCTCCCTGTGGGGACATTTCTCTAGTGGTCATGTTTGTGTACCTGTCATAAGAAACACTTAAATCCTACTTTGTAGAGGTGATGGTGGGTCGGAGGGGTGGGTATCCACACAAATCCAGAATGTGGTGTAGGTAAAATTTGATACCAAAAGCAGGTTCCTTTTTTCCCTCAAGTTAAAGGGTGTCCAGGGTGCCAAGTCTCTGGTGTCTTTTATCTGATGATGCCACGCTGATTCTCAAGTCTAGCTTTGATCTGCAGGGTGTTTGGCTTTTATGTGCAGTTGCCCTTCAGCACTGACCACATTATATTTTTGTCCTGTTTTGAGTGTATTTTGCCTTCATTTATATTGGGAGCCTCTATTTAGACTCTGATCCATCTCAGATACTTCTGGGTAATGCCCATGGAAAAAAACATGGGGTTTTAGTGGGCACGGGGGGGAGTTGGGGTTTGCTTATTAGGAGAAAAGCTGAGATTGTCCAGGCTGGCCTCAAACTCTTGGTCCTCCCTGCCCCACCCTCTCAGGTGCTAGCATTACCAGTGTACCACTGTGCTCTGCTCTGGAAGAACATCTCTGTCAGTCTCCTGTGTTCTCATTCCCTCCTGATCTGTGCAGTAGCCCAAAGGTAGTTAGTGCCTAGGTCACCAGAAAGGCAGACTCAGAAGAAAGGTGGGACTAGGCAGTGCAGGGCCTTGGTTCTGTGGCATGTGCCTGCTGCATAACCTTCCTGATGACTAAGGGATATATTTACAGGTTGTTCTTTAGAAGTCTGTAGAAATTACGTTTATCCTCCCGGCTTGGTGGTGCACGCCTTTGATCCCAGCACTTGGGAGGCAGAGGCAGGTGGATCTCTGTGAGTTCAAGGCCAGCCTGGTCTACATAGTGAGTTCCAGGCCAGCTGGGGCTACAGGGAGACCCAGTCTCAAAAAGACCAAAAAGAAATTAGAAATTACATTTATCGGGTTTTCCTGGATTTTTTGTGGTCCTGGAGACTGGCTGATACATCCACAGTTTGAAACTGATTAGTTTCTTTTCTTTTCATCCTGTTTGCTCGGGGTTTGTGTGTTTCCTAGAAAGAAAATTTATAGAGAATTGTTGTTTCACAAGTAACTTAAATTTAAACTTAAAAAAATACATCCCCAATTTTGCTTTGATAGTGAGGTGTTAAAATTACCAATCAGAAGAATTGATTCTTAGGCATCTATTCTTACTCTCCACACTCACTGAACTCCTTTAATGGGAAAGTAACGTCTACAGGAAATATTTTGTGAGCAAAGTATTCTGTATATGGCTGGATTAAGCCTGAGTAGAAATGTTACATTAAATAGACACTGTTATAGTTTTGTTTTGTTTTGTTTTTCCTGGTCTTTTTGAAACAGGGTTTCCCTGTAGCCCCAGCTGGCCTGGAACTATGTAGACCAGGATGGCCTCGAACTCACCACCACGCCCGGCTTTGTTATAGTTACTATCAAGTAACAGGTCATCTAGTGATGTGTTTAGGACAAGAGCAGTACTAAACTGGGAACAGCTCCTTAGGAGTATTGTCACTTTGCCTTTTCCAAACCTCGAGTTTAGCATTTTGTCGAAACATTCTTTAACGCGATAAATGCTGAAGAACACAGTTGAATATGCTTCTCAAAATTCCATGCAGCTCAGAACCGAGACAGACTTTCCTATAGAAGTAGTTTGCCTGCTTGAGAACTTTATGGACCCCAAGGCTTTTTTTCTCAAATCTCCTGTGAGCCATCTTGACCTCACGGTTACAAGCAACTGTTTTAAAAATTAAAGATAATAAGCCAAACATATGCAGAAATTGAATGTTAACAAAATTATTAGCCAAAAAAAAAGTGGATCTATTTGCCATCCAGAGTTAAATATTTAAGGACAGTCTATAGTTAATGAACTTGCTTATTTTACTGTAATCAGCGGTTTGTTGGTTTTAAATATGTGTTTGGCCTTGGGCATTTTCTACTTAAGTGTTCTTTTACTGAGTTTGCCCTAATCCCTAGCCTTAAAAAAGGCAACACTGTCGGGCGTGGTGGCGTAAGCCTTTAATCCTAGCACTTGGGAGGCAGAGGCAGGCGGATCTCTGTGAGTTCGAGGCCAGCCTGGTCTCCATAGTGAATCCAGGACAGCTGGGGCTCTCCCTGTCTCGAAAAGACCAAAAAAAAAAGCAACACTTTAGAGAGAGAGGAAGCAGAGGTGGCGCCTGCCTTGGCTTTGTGAGGTTGAGGTTTGTCCTAGACTTCTGAGACTCCTGTGAGTCGGTAGGACGAGGCAGGAAACCAAGTATTTGCTCAGCTGTTACTTATTGGTAGTTGCGCATCATTTTCTTTTTTTTTTTTTAAGGGACAAAGGGAACCTTTTAAGAGAGTTTATGCTAAAGATGCTGTGAAGCAAAACAAGCTGGTTGCTGGGGTGGGGGTGGGGGGTTGCAGAAGCATGTGGTAGCCAGTACCTGCCAAGCTTGCCTCCTAGGGCTCAGTTGGAGGCCTGGGTTAT